CATATGTAGAAAAATGAATTGATGGATGGATGTAGGCAGACATTTAGCAGCCTCTCCTCTCCCCCTTAGTAGCAGAGATTTCACACTGGAGAGGAGCTCTTTGAATATAATGAGAATGGGGAAATAGCCACAGCTCAACTGACTCAGTCTGTGGTACTGGAGAGAATCCCTACAAATGTAACGAATGTGGCAAACTCTTCAGCCAGAAAGCTAACTTCTGTTTATTTGAGAGAATTCACACAGAAGAACCCTTTGCCTGTAATCAGTGTGGAAATGCCTCCAGTAACAACTTATCCTTTAAACAGCATGAGTGAATTCACACTGCAGAGAAACTATATGAATGTCATCTATGTGGTAAAGCCCTTAGCTGATGCTCTAACCTTAGCCATCATGAGAACACACACTGGAGAGAAACCCTATACATTAATGAATGTAGAAGAACCTTCAGCCTCAGCTTTAACCTTTACACAAGAGTTCCCACAGGGGAGGCACCCTACAGCCTTCAGCCAAAGCTCAAGCTTTGGAAGGCACAGAACACTGAGCAAAACAAGAAGGAGAACAGCAAGTCTTTACTAGGAGGAGGAAGCCATTTGAGAAATACCAGATAATTCTAGTTAGAGAAGCAATCCAATGAAATAAATAGGAGAAACCCTTTCGTCACAGAGTAACATTCCAGGACATGTGAGGTTTCTCACTGTATTAAACACTCTCAGTATCATGAATGAAGGAAAGTCTTCAGTGACCAGGCATACCTTAGTCAGCCTTCAAGTTCTCACACTGGGGAGTCCCTCAGGCTTCAAGTCCAAGTAGAAATGCCTTTATCTGCAGCTTATTTAAGAAAACTCAGACTGGAGAACAAAACTATCAGGAACCCTTAGAATACAATTCAACATATAATTTAGACTTTTGGCAAATGACATGGCACTGAAAATAATGTAGTGTAAAAATGCAGAACTGTAATGCATTCTTGGAAATGTAGAATGCAGAATTTGGTAAAATGTAATAGGCAATAAGATCATCCCTCCTCAGTGGATTAATAAAAGTTGTTGATAAAAAATCTGATACATTGGTCTTTGTCTTCAAAAAATCATGAAACGTTATGCTGAGTAATCAGGCCATTTTCCCTTTGTTACATCACTGTTGAAAGCTGATCAGTTTCTGTTCTTTATGCAGCTCTAAAAGTATTTACAAAGACTGTTCAATCAGAAAACAACTTTTAATGTAATTGAAAAATGTAGAACACAAAATAATGTGTTCTAATGATTATATTAGTGTTGAAATATGTATCTACATGGCAAAGGTGACTGGAAACATGGACAAATAAACACACACTATGTGATTCAGATATCTCAGGTGATACTGATGTGAGTGGTATACATGCCCTACTTTATAAGACACTAAAAACAAACAAGGGCTTGAAATTGAAAAATATGCCTAAAAGCATTGAATCAAATGTATAATATGGCTGAAATGTTGAGTCCTAGAGGGAGGAAAGAGGTTGAAAGCCTTGTATACCTTTTTCTTAAAGGCAAGGGGAAACTCTTACAGGGTCTTAAGCAACAAGTAACACAATGAGATTTGGGGGAGGGCACACTAGCTACCATGTGGAGACTGACTTGGCTTGGAGGGGAGCAGAATTGGAAGAAGGAGTACCATTTAGGTAACTCCTGCAATAACACAGACATGAGCCAGTGACCCGGACTAAGATGATGGCAGTGAGGAGAGCACAGATTTAACAGATTTGTGGGTGGTAGTCTCTACAAGACTTAGACATTGAATTTCCAGGAGATAAAGAACTCAGTGAGATCTCGGTTTCCGGCTTTAGAAACTGACCAGGATAGAGGGAGGTACCCTTTAAGGATCCAGGGAACATTGGAGAACCAGATTTGGTAGAGAAGGTGAGTTCAGTTATGGACCTTTTGGGTTTGTGTCTGTGAGGTTTTCCAATCCATAAAGTGATTGTATATTTGTCAAATAACTGATGTCTGAAGCCACAAGATGGCAGAGACCACCCAGTAAAGTGAGAGTATTCGAAAGCCAGTGGGGCAAGAATCAACTCTGAGAAACCCCAACAGAAGGGAAGGGGAGGAGGAAAAGGAAGCTCCAGTGAGATGGAAAGAAGCGGCCACAGGAGACGGGGCCTCAGAAGCCAAAGGATGGTGGGAGCGGTCACCTTGGTCAGATACTCTGCAGGAGTCAGGACGGAGTGAGCTGAACTGAATGATGTCTGTGTTACTGGTGATCTTCACCCAGACTGTTGTAGTGGAGCGAGAGAAGCAGAGACCGTGCAGAGCACCAGAGGTGAGAAAATGCAGTCAGCGCATGTCGGCGCCCTTCCAGGAATTTGGTGGGGAAGAGAGGAGAGAGGTCAGGTGGCAGTTAAAGTGGTGCTGGAGTTGAGAAATCATGTTTTTTTAGCTGGGAAATAGGGGAGCATATTTAAATGATGAGAAGGGGCCAGCAAAGAAGGCAGGGTTCTGGAAAGACTGGGGAGAGAGGAGATAATTGATAGAATAAGGTCCTGAGGAAGTCAGAAAGGGATCTAGAGCACGCCACAGTCCTCTTTTTTTTTTTGTCGTGGGCTCGATAGAAAACTCGATGGGTTTGTAGACTTGTGGGTTCGTAGAGAACCAGGGCAGGTGCCACAGAGGGAGAAAGGGTTTTGATCTTTTGCTAAGAGGGTAGTTGGATGTAGAACCTAATGTGGGTAGAAAGTAAGTCAAAGCAGGAGAAAGCTGCTAGAGAACAATAAGGAAAAAATCACTTAATAGACCTGTAGAAGTTGAAGAATTGGTGTGATTGGATGACTGACCCGAAAAGGTAGGCAGTTGTGTTCAGAGAGCAGGCTGCCTGTGTCAGAGGTGGAGCAGTTCCAGGTCATGACACAGCCCAGGGTGTGCTCACGGGGGTGGTGGGGAAGGACATCGAAGCCGAGGAGACCAGCCCCTGGGACTCTGGGACCCACGGGCCATGGGGACAAGGGCGTCTCCAGCAGTGACGGCAGACGGTGTGGAGAGAGACCCAGGTGCTGAAGTCATAAAAAAATAAACGTAAAAGGAGAGTGATCAGGAGTTTAACAGCTAGAAGAAACGGTAGAGGGCCATTATCTTCTACCATTGGCTCCGACCCCTCCACCAGTAATATCCCCCATCCTCTCCTCTTCCCCCCAAAATATATTCTCTCAGCAGATGCATTACCAGTTATGCAAAAGTGACTTCAAAACAAGTCTACTAGCAGGAGTGCTAGGGAGCTCTGTAGAAACGTCTGAGAAAAAGGGGGAAAGTGGGAGGTTGAGTCAAGGAGGAGAATTCAAAGGAGGGAAGTATTGGGGGGAATACCAACGAGGATTGATCGTGTAAAGGATGTATATTTTGGATGATAACAGGGGAAAGCGTAATTGGAGGTGGTGGTTTTAGCTGGCTTTTTGGGCTAAAAAGCTGTGCCAGTGCCCTCTGCATAAAAACATAAATAAATAGAATGCTTGGATGGAAGCCCTGGGAAAGAGGTGAAATGGGAGGCATGTGGTGTGAGTATGTGAGTGTGAGTGTGTGGGTGTGCACATTTGCTGCCAGTTGAATTGGGGTGGAGGTTAGAGGAGCTCTTCTTTGTGGTGCGTGAGTATAAATATTGCTATACTGTGATCTTAATTTTGAATCTTTCATTATGGCTTATGCATTTTCATTACTTTAGGCATCTAATTGAAATAACTCTCTCATTGATGTCATTATTCTGTAAGAAATTGATTCCTAGAAATTGATTGATGGGAAATGTTACTGTACGTTCCAGCATCAAGCCACTAATAGTAGGCATCATCCATCTCGGGACTTCTAGGTGCCAGGCACTCAGCTGGCCATGGGGTTACAAAGATAAACATGGATTACAGCTTATTTTTTATAAGTTCTTTTAAATAACACATTAATACCCTAAATTCATTAATCACATTTTCTCACAACCTTCAAAAAATATTGATTTGATAGAAGTAGACATCCTACTGACCAGACACTACATTATGATTAAACTATTGAAGAACTTCCAGGTTTAAAAAAAAAAAAAATCTAATAGCTACTTCCAAATATTACTTTGTCCATTTTTCCTCATCTGTTTATTTTCATTTGTTGCATCCCTTAAATTCTTTCTGATTAGGTGCTTAATACACATTTGGGGTTTTTTTTTTAAGATTTTATTTATTTGAGAGAGAGAGAAAGAGCACGAGCAGGTGGGAAAGGCAGAGGGAGAAAGATTCCCCGCCGAGCGTGGAGTCCGATGGAAGACTCCATCCCAGGACCCGAGATCATGACCTGAGCTTAACCAACTGAGCCACCCAGGCACCTCTCAATAAATGTTTGTTAAAACAATGAATCATGGAACACTACATCAAAAACTAATGATGTAATGTATGGTGATTAACATAACAATAAAAAATTAAAAAAAAAATAAATGTTTGTTAAATGCAAAAGCATAGAGGAGTACCCTGCCATCTGAATTTATCGCCACAGTTTCTAACCACCACACTTGTTTTAAAGAAATTACGATACACGTGCAGTACCAGAGAAAAAAATTACATGGTTTTTCATCTTAAACTACTTGATAAAGTCAATAATGAAAGGTATATTTGCTAGTCTGGATCATGCAGTGGAATCTCAGATTTCTTCAAATCCTGCTGCTAGGGCTGGGACTTCTTCCACATGGTACAGCTGAAGAAGAAAACAGTGTTCACCATTAACACGCTAGTGAGATCGAGCGTGTCTGCTTACACGAAAGGCTCTCTTCTCCCTGTCTTCCCACCACGCCAGACCTGGTGAGGGAAACCTTGGAAATAGCTCTCCACATGACACGTATTCTCAGAGATCTGAATCATGCCTGGATCTAAGAAATCTGTAATTTCTTTGTAATGGTCCTTCAGAAAGTATCGCCTCACTCCACCGAAGATTGCTTCAAAGTACCCAGAGTAGCAGGATCAATGTGTGAAATTTCATTGTGTACTTGTTTTTTCTTTATAGGATAAAGATGCACAGAAAGAAGTGAAAAAAATAAGCACTTCCTTGAAGAGGTAAATAAAAGAACTTACTCTTCAACAAATCAGATGTGGTCTACTAAACTTCAAACTAATCCGAGTTGTGTTTTTTTAATTATCTTTTTTTCTTTTTTGATGTAAGGGTAGTATGCTCAGATTTGAAGGTAAAACCACGTTTCTGCAGAATGCATTCCAATAGTAGCGCAACAAAACTGATCATGTTGTTGGGAGAAATCAAGTTCCCATAATGTCAGTACAAAATTATCTTTAAACATGTATGATTTATATTTTTCCTATCAATAAACTATAGTCTTCAGAGTATTTCTTTAAAGAAAATATTTAAATCAATTCAATAAAGTGAACTCTAGTGTTTTATTGCTGCTTCAATGGAGACTTTACAAAACAAAATTTCATTAATGTGGATAAAAAATGGGAAAAATGGGCAAAGGTCATGAACAAGTTGTTGACAGAAGAGGAAAAACGAAAGAGTAAACACATGGTAACTAGTCATCGGAAATGTGAATAAAATTACAGTAAGATACTGTTTTGTCATCAAATTAGCAAGGATTTTTTTCTTCCAAGAGATGTTCAGTGCTGGTAATGATACCACAAGTTGGAACATTCTCAACCACAGCTGGTGAAAGGGTATTTTGACACAAACATCTGGTAAAATGTATCCTAAGCCTCAAAAATGTATTAATTCTTGAATCTTGTAATGTCATTTCAGGGGAATAGTCCTAAGGAGAAAAGGACAATTATTTACGCACAAATGTTTATAACAGCATTGTTTATTATAGCAGAACACTATGTCCAACAATAAAAAAGCAGTTAACCGTATTAGAATCTAACCATATTAGAATATAACTACAACAGGATATTATTTTGACACTGAAAAAATTACCGAAATTGTGCAATGCACAAGGCATCTTAAGTGCAAGTACAAAGCAAAATAGTGTGTACATATCATCTCAGCTATATGAAAATGCAGAAAAACATCAATTGGAAAGACACTAATCTGGTAGCAGTTCATATTCTGTGGAGTTGCGTTTTATTTCTTCTATTTCCCAATTTTTAATAAACTAAAAGGATTTTTTTCATTGAACTTAGCTAGCAGTGATCTGTAAAGATTCCTCACTACACTTTAACCAGCCTCATCCTGGAAATCAGATCAAAACTTGAAATTCCTGCTTGCTATCCCAAATATATGCATACATTTATACATTCAAGATTTCAAGCCCTGACCTAGAGATGCCATTTAATCAAGCTGAGCAAGTTCCTCTCTCTTTTACACTGACCCATGGAGATACCTGAATCGGTTCGACTGATTCTTGCCCAAACTCTGACACCTGGTCTAATGTTGACAGCGCTGGCTGGAAGGGCAGGCAGGTTCCTGCACAGATACGCGGTGTCCACAGGCTATAGGATGCCTCTGGCTCTCTCTGAACTGCTCCAAGAATGTGCCAGTTGAGACAGGTGATTGTCACTAACAGCAAATGAGAGAATCAACCCCGTTGTGGGAGCAGCTCATTCCAGCAGAGAGCAGTGCAAAGACTTCTGCTAGGAATTATGAGGGACATCTAACCGATCTCCGTTTGCTTTAACAAAATTCCTCTTTGGTCCCTGGAGTCAGTATGTTACAATGGGAGTGTAACACTCCTAAAAGTTACTTGAACCTTTAAAGCATTCGGAATTGCTGACACATTTGACAATTTCTCCAGTAGGATGTTAGCAGAGGATATCTCCCTCCCTGTCATGGTTATATCGGGTCCCCTTCCAATGATCATTGAAGCCCAGCTGTCTAGGTCACAAGGGAACACAGTCTCCACATTAAATCTGCCCCCTTTTAAAAGCTGAGTATTTTTCTCAGATGGCAGCACTATTTGTAGATTGGTATACTTACTCCAGTGAATTTCCCATGAAGTGAGTCATGTGAACTGACTGTAGCTTGCTTTCTATGGTTACTTCACTCAATTTGTGCTATTGACCTGGGAGAAGACCATATGTCTCCAGAGCACTTCCAAAATGATCCTGGGGGGTCCCTAAGGCCAAGCTAGTGGTGCGCCATCCACCACAAGCAAAATACACAAACTCCTAACCTTTCAAGAGACTTGACATACAGCTTTGAAAAGGGGAGGTTCTGATCCAGAACTTCAAATATATTCAATTTCAGAAGATAATAAACTGCATGTTAAAATTTCTCATAAAACGTTAAAGAAGTCAGCGTTCTGCTAAAATTTTAGCAATCGTCCGTCCTATCCATGTAATTTGCAAGCTTAGTTATCTTTCTTACTAAATAACGAATGACCTTCACTGGAACATGAAAAACTCCATTGTGCCTAACTGGTCCAAAAGCTTTTCATTTGATAATATGGGTATAATTTTGAATTATAAAAAGCAGTGTTAACAGCTGGATGGGACCGTGGAGACAGTCTTCTAGACCAGCCTTCTCATTTTCTCCAGGAAACAGCCTAAGCTCTGATGCGTAAACCACATGGAAGGGGTCAGGGAGCTGGGGACTGGCCGAGCCAGGACTGGGTTCCAACTCAGAATCTCGTGCCTTCTGCCCTCTTCTCTGAGCCCAGGGCTTTTTACGTTTAACTGATTGAAGCCCAGCATGTCTGTCGTTGATTAGGGGCTCCGGGAACAGTAATACTGCATGGCATTAACCCGTCGTTCTGCCTGTTTTAAGTGCTTTACCTACATCAACTCATTTAAATCTCACCGTGGCCCGAGAAGAAGGAACTTTTGGTATCACTCTATTTCCAGACAGGGCAGCTAAAGCAGGAGACACTAAATGCCATACGGAGCACAGCGTGAGATTTGAACTTGGGCAGTCTGCTCCGGTCTGTGCTGGAGTCTGAACCGCTGTGCAACCCTGCCAGCAAAGGGGATCAAGGGGATGTGGGGGTAAAAGACAGAAGGTGGAAGGAGAGAAGGGGGAAAGGGACAGGAAAGGAAGAAAGGGTTTATGAAGAAAGGAATGGTAGAGAAAGATGGTAAGGAAAAAAGAAGAGAGCAAAGGCAAAGAAAAATCTTTCCTTGTATTTTTTGGATATTGATAGCCGTGTTCTGGTTTCACATATATTTCCAACAACCCGTTGTGTATCTCGCCTTATATTAAGTCTGTTTTCATATTCCCCCCATCTTTCCCAAGATAAGGAAGGAAGAAAAAAGGAGGTGGTGAAACCTGCTTTCAATGACTCGCTCCCCTCGATCTGTGGGGTGGGAAAGCCTCAGTAGAGACTTTATGACCTATTGTTGGGCAGTTAACAAGAATATTTCATTTCACAGTTAAAGACAAGGTCACCTTTTAGAACCAAGTATCATTAATATCTTGATGCTCCATGACTTTTGCAGCTCCCAAACCAGGATTTTGCTCTAGGTGCCCGAAGTCACATCATAAGTTCTAAAAATAGCTTTATTGGGGTGTAATTGGCATACCAAAATGCACATATTTAAGGTGGATAACTTGATGTGTTTTGAGATATATATTATATATATATATAATAGATATATATATATATATCCCTGAAACCATCACCCCAAAAGTTTCTTCACACCCTTTTGCAACCCCTCCCTCCTGACTCTCCCTGTACCTCCCATCCCCAAACAACCGCTGACCTGCCTTCTTGTCACCATAGATTGCCTTTTCTGGACTTTTATATAATTGGGATTGTACATTATGTTTTCTCTTTTTTTGTCTGATTTCTTTCACTCAACAAAATTATTTTGAGATTCGTTCATCTCATCATGTATCCTAAGAGTTCATTCCTTTTTATTGCTGGGGGTTATTTTATTACATGGATATACCAGAGTATTTTCTGTCCCTTCACCTGTTGATGAACATTTGGGGAGTCTCCAGTATTTGATTATTACAAACAAATCTATGAATATTCATATAAATTCTTTAAATGGACATATGCTTTCATTTCTCTTGGATAAGTACATAGGAGTAGAATGGCTGAACCATGTGATCTATGTTTAGCATTTTATTTTTTTATTTTTTTAGCTCTCAAGTTATTTTATTTTTTACTTTTTTATAATTTTTTTTATTGTGTTACGTTAGTCACCATACTGTACATCATTAGTTTTTGATGTAGTGATCCACGATTCATTGTTTTCTTTTAACACCTCGTGCTCCATGCAATACATGCCTTCCTTAATAACCCATCACCGGGCTCACATGTCGCCCCACTCCCCTCCCCTCTAAAACCCTCAGTTTGATTCCTGGAGTCCGTGGTCTCTCATGGTTCATCTCCCTCTCTGATTTCCCCCCTTCATTTTTCCCTTCCTTCTCCTAATGTCCTCCATGCTATTCCTTATGTTCCACAGATCAGTGAAACCACATGATAATTGTCTTCCTCTGTTTGACTTATTTCACTTAGCATAATCCCCTCCAGTTCCAACCATGTCGCTGCAAATGGTGGGTATTCATCCTTTCTGATGACTGAGTAATATTCCATTGCATATATGGACCACATCTTCTTTATCCATTCATCTGTTGAGAGGCATCTCGGCTCCTTCCACAGTTTGACTATTGTGGACATTGCTGCTATGAACATTGGGGTGCAGGTGACCCTTCTTTTCTGCATCTGTATCTTTGGGGTAAATACCCAGTAGTGCAATTACCGTGTCGTAGGGTAGCTCTATTTTTAATGTCTTGAGGAACCTCCATATTGTTTTCCAGAGTGGCTGCACCAACTTGCATTCCCACCAACAGTGTAAGAGGGTTCCCCTTTCTCCACATCCTCTTCGACATTTGTTGTTTCTTGCCTTGTCAATTTTTGCCGTTCTAACTGGTATAAGGTGGTATCTCCATGTGGCTTTGATTTGAATTTCCCTGATGGCTAATGATGTTTAGCATTGTAAAAAACAGTCAAACTGTTTTCCAAAGTGGTTATCCCATTTTATATTCCCACCAGCTATGAATGAGAGTTCCACTTCCTGCACCTTCTTAACAACACTTGGTATTGTCATTCTCCAAAATTTTAGCTACTGCTCTATGTGTAGAGATATCTAATTGGAGTTTTAGTTTGCATTTCCCTAATGGCAAATTACATTGAGCATTTTTTCATGTGCTTATTTGCCACTCATATATCTTTGGTGAACTATCTATTCAAAATTTTTGTCCATTATCTTAATTGAGATACTTGTTTTCTTTTTTATTGAATTTTGAGAGTTCTTTATATATTCTGTATGATAGAAGTCCTTTATTAGATAGGTAATTTGCCAGTGTTTTCTGTCTGTGGCTTTTAATTTCCTTAACAATGTCTTTGACAGGACAAAAGCTTTTCATTTTGATGAATCAATTTATACTTTCATGTATATTGTT